AAAATATTTTGAAAATGTTGAAGGCAACATATATACAAAGGTGCTTAATACAATTGATGTATGGATTATTATAAGAGCTGTAAGAGCCCCCAATAAAATGATATATGTATAAAAAAAAATTTTTCCCCAGAGACAAAATTAACCCTTGAGGATGAGGGGAAGTGGGGGTGAATTTGGTATACATGAAAATAAGTCATTTCTATCCCCCTTTTTTTTCTTTTTAACTCTGCAGTCTCTTTTCCTTTAAGTGTAGGAGAACAAGTAAAATTTCAGCATTATGAGTAAGTATTGAAAATGTATTCTAACACTTATTTTTTTTACATAATAAATCTGTGCTCATTGATCTGGTTAGGAACACACACCTGTCTGACACACACTCTGCACTGCTTGTTTTCTGTTACAAAAACACTCTTTAGAGGGCAGGGGGTGAGGCTGGGAGGGTCTAAAACAAACAAAAAAACACTTTGTATTGGGGCAAACCAGCTACCAAGCAGGATTGATCCTAGAGCTGCCCCTAACATCCTAACCAGACACAGTCCACTCAGCATCAAGAGATGCAAGAGCACCCCCACCATTCTCCGTTGGGCCCCTCACCAATCCTAAGTCACATTAACACAGAAAGTAGGGACTGTTATTCCCACTGGACAGAATGAAGTTCCTTTGGAAATCGGGTCAGTGCCATGGCCACCACCCACCTCCCAGAGCCTCTTACCCTGAATGTGGGAGTGGTGGACAATGTTGCAACAGTAACACGTGGCTGAGCTTGCAAAGGCCAAAGAACATTCAAAATCAAAGGTAAGTTTCTAACAGCGCTAGCCCACATGGCATCGGGAGCCTTCACTGCAGCCTTGGCTCTGAACAGAACAGGTGCCTGTAGTCATTCCAACACCTGTCTCTAAGTTAGGACCTGCACCCCAAATGCTAGGCTTTTTAGTTCACTTTAATTTTCAATTCCACTTGTATTTCCCATCACCGGCCACTATCAATTCTATCTGACACCTAAGCAGGGCTTCTTAAAACTTTTTCCACAGGTGACCCGTATCACCTGAGTTTTATGCAACCCGGGTATTTTGGCATATGAAAGGAAGTATACAAATATCAAACGGCTTTTAAAGGAGTGGTTTTGATAGCATTGCCAAGCACAACATCTAACTGGTGGTATTTTTGGCTATAAGCATGTGTGTGCTTAGAATAAGGCTGCAGAGAATCCGCACAACGCAAGCCCTGCCCCAAAGACCCCGACACCTGAGAGGTTTACTTCTGGATTGATTTCTCCTCGCCGTGCCTTCAAACCTTTTACTGTGGCCAACTTTTTCGACCCCTCCCACACTCAAATACTCCTCAGTAGCTCTGGAGTGGTCGTCCCTCTAGCAGGCCGCACAACTCTTGGCGCGGCCACAGCCTCACCTGGCCTGTCCTACACAAAACTTTTCCCATTTCCATTTCTGTCTTTGGGGGAATCGAGGCTCTATCAATGTGGTCCTTACAGTCCCCCTTTTAAAACACTTGTGAAGAACAACATTGACCATTAACAGGTGTGCTAGGGGCTGGCACAGAGACCTGTTGGCAAATAAAGACTGTAAGAGAATTAGTTCTCTTTGGCACTCATGGTCTCAAGAAATTTTTTTCTTGTTCATTTCACCACAGAGGCAAGTAACTATTTCTCTGCCTCATCAATCAATCTGGAAAATGAAAAGATACTCAATATGCTGAACTATGCTCATATCCCAGGGAGTGTGTCACAGGAACAGGAAGCCGGAGCCATGAAGGACGTGACACAGATTGCTTCCCACACGTGGACTCCTACCCGTGTCAGGACGAGCATGTGTGTGTGTGTGTGGCGTGGGTAAAGGGGGAAGGGAAGAGCCTGGGCATGGCCCTTCTTAGAAACCCGCTGACCATGCAGGACGATACAGAGGAGGAAAATCCCCTGGACAGGAATCTGGAGGTGTGGTCCAAAAGACCGCAGCCAGTCTAGCGCGCCAAAGGCCAGCTGGACGTGTT